AATGGTGTGTGGGGGTCCCCAATCCCAGGGACCTTGTTTTGTCCTCTCCTGCTAACTCCTGCTCTTAGCAGAAGAAAAGGTGAACATAGGCAAAGGGGAACATTGCCTGGGTCCAGTCTAGATTTCTTCTCCAGCCATATTGCTGGCTAGACCCTACTCAGTTGTCACCTTTGTGGTGACAGCTGGGCACAGGCAGCAGCACTGGTCTCCTCCAGTAGCTGGAAAGAGTCGCAGCACTGGGTCAGGCACAGATATCCTGCCCTGGCACTAGGGGATGGGCTCACCAACCTCTCTGGCACGGTATGGGGACAGGTGACATCCCATCACACCTGGGCTCTGCACATCTGTGAGACCAGCAATCCAGCAAAGCAACCCAGGGGACCATCCAAGCAGCTAATCCCAAAAGCAGGGGCAACTCATGCTCTTGGCAGAGCACAGAAGAGGGGCAAATCCTGGTGGGAATAGACGAGGTCTCCAAATGGCTGCCTCCATCTTGGTACCAGCACGTCCTCAGCTGCTGGTGCCAAAGCTGACATCGTGCCCACGCAGGAGGAGGGAGAGCTTGCCTTGCTGGGGCTGTGGCTCTGCATTTTCATGAGCACACTGGGAGAAAGGCAAGATCCCACAGCTGAAGCACAAAGGCAGCTGGGTACGGGTCTGTGAAGAGCTGGAATCAAACCCAGCAGGTCACCATGGGCTTCTGGGCACAGGGCAAAGAGAAGGGGTGGGCTTCACCCTTAAGCAAGTTATCACAGTTGCTTTTTCACAACTCTCCTTTTCCAGAGGTTGTATTAAACATCCTAAGCAGAATTTGTGTTTGTAGCATCGTTTTTCTTCATGATTCTTTGAATCCTTCCCCTTCCACTCCAGCCCCCAATCTCCCTTTCACAGGTCAGGTTTTTCAACAGGAGATAGAGCCAACGTGTTTAAAGCCCTTCTTATCTGTCAGCAAGGTCTTGTGGGATGGGATTTAGTTTCACATTTGTTTGACCAGCATTTGAACTTTGGTTATTTATATAACTTTGGTTATTCGTATTTTTCGCTTCTACCATGCAATACCACAAGTCCTGGCAGTTCTACAAATCAGCAAGACTCAAACCAGCAATTCCTACAGACTCTTCCTAAACTTCAGCAAATTCTTAGTATTAATTCTTTGGCTGAAGAAGATGTAAACCTCTAAAGTTTTCCACTCCTTTTGCTGGAGTTTTGCCCTCTCACACCTTGAGTCTTACAAGCCACAGCATTTCTATCCCTCCTTTAACTCAGCCTCCTGTTAGTGCCAGTTGCTAGAGGCCACTTTCCAGCTGAATCTATACTCTCCAGAAAGTTCATTCTAATTTTATTTTATTTATTGTTTTTTACACACAGCATCAACAAGAAGAGACAGCAGGTCTCATTGGCTAGGTAACTACTCAGTCCCGATGCTCTAACTGCAATTAAATTTCTATTATAAGTGATGGCCCTGGTGCCCCCAGTCACCCTGTCCTTTCAGAGCAAACTTGCATCACAACAAAGTGCAGAAGCTGTGAGCCAAAGGCACTATGCCCTAGTCTCTATGCCTTAGTGTCACTACACATCAGTCAGTGGAGAAGCCAACCAGGCTTGCGATCAGAGACCTTAGAAGTGACATGTCCTTGACTGTTTCCCCAGGGATAGACCTTCCTGGTAGAGTCATACTGGTTCATCAGCCTCTGGAAAAATGAAACATGAACATCAGTGGGGCATCCCTGGTATTTGAGGTATCCAGCTTTGTTCTGGAGCGGAAATCTTTGCATCCCCACAGCAGCAGTGATTTAAGGGAGAAAGCAGCACATACCTGCTCAAAACGTCACCAGCGTCCTAGACGGGAGAGACAAGCAGCTCAGTGCTACTTATCCTGCACACACATTCCTCACGTTCCCCTTACACAGTGAATGGACACAGCAGCAAGGTAGAGATTAATAAGTAAGATAATCAAGGTAAGATTAGCCTGTTGCATGTTTCTGATTTGCTGGTGCCTTGTGCTGTTTGCCAAGACACCTGCAGGGACTTGTGTCCTGATTGCTGGCACTCCTTCTCCTTGATCAGGCCATCCAGATAAATAACCTTCTTGGAGGATTTAGCAGCATTTTCTTTCAATCTTGTTTCAATCTGCTTCTCCAGCTCTCCCAACCCAGCCAGCAGCAGGCACTCTTGTTCCTCCATGTACTGTCGCAGCTGCTTAAATTCAGACCCGATCTTCTGCCTTTCCACCTTCACTTTTTCTTTTACAAGCAGAAACAATTCTCTCAAGGGAGGGCGGGACCACAGAAAGGGACAGGCAGCAATTAAAAGCATCCACGGCTTTTACTTTCTGGGGTGGAGCATGACTGTGATTCCCAGGGTGCTTATCATGCACCAACAGCTGGACACAACAATTCACTCGCCCAACAACAAAGGCCAAGAATCGACTTTTCTTCACCCTCCCTAAATGAAGTTCTTCCCAGTAGCACTGTGCACCTACCAGACAGTCCTGACAGATCCATCGCTCCTTCCTTTCCCGTTTCTCCAGTTCTCCTTTCTCTCTCCTGAGGCTCTCCAGCTGTGACTGTATTTCCTCCTGGAAGGAGGGACACCCTTTTGGAGCTCCCCACCGCCCACATGTATGCTTTGTGTCCATAAAATAGTCCGTTCCCTGGGTTGGACGTAAGCAGCCTCTGGCACAGGGTCAGCCTCTGGAGCTGTGAGTCCGGGATGCTCGCAGGGCTTGGTAGGACTGTGAAAAGTGGTGAGGGAACATGCAGGGGAAGGGGACTGCGGAGAAACCAAGGAGGAATAGGCAGCAAGGGGTATAAAAGGCACTGGTCCTGGGTAAAACGGAGCTGGTCAGTGCGCTTGTCTGACCCAGCCCTGCACCTGATCACTGCAGTCTGTCCTACCTTCTCATTAAATCCTTTCTCAACTATCAGTGTGATCTCACTCTGTATCCCGTGGGTGTGAGTGCTGCAAGGACTAAGTGCCAGCTACTGGAGGGACCAGTGCCAGTGGATTTGGTGGCAGCTACTGCAATCAGATGGGGTGTGCAGGCACCCGGGGGCTGTGGTCTCAGGTCCTGGAGTCAGTGGGGTCTCAGAGCAGCTCCTACAGCAGGCGGGGGTCCTGAACACCAGCCACTGTGTCTGGAAGGGTGCGTGTCCCCAAAAGCAGCTACTGGGTGGGACCGGTGTGAGTGATGTGAGTGAGGAGCTCAGCACTGGCAGCTGGAGTGGAACCACAACCCAGGTACCTGGAGAGAATCCCTGTGAAGTCAGATGCCAAAAATCAAAATAATATTAAAGCCTGATTACAACCACTATCAGCACCCTGGTCTGGCAGGCAGCAACATGCCAAGGGACACTGGAGAGGCCACAAGGGCAGGAAATTATCATACATCATGTATGTAACCTGCACAACACAATACAGAGGACAGACTCCCATTACCCTTAGGAAAACTTGATAAATGTTATGTCAAGGCATGGGCAGCAACAGGAAGACAGCGGTTAAAAAACAAACAAACAAAAAGCATAGAGGGTGTAGCTACAGCTTTGACTCCTTGCAGAGAGTGTGGTCTTTTGCAAACCACAGACTAGAAAGCTTTCAGACAGGTATATAAAAACATTGCATTAGCAAAGAATGCCTTAGAAAGCTGTGAGCAGATAAAAAGCTATGCAGCACAGGGACTGCACACAGAGTAACCCCCAGCCCTCGCACGTCATGACAAAGTGCCTCGGTAAAAGAGGTAATTAAAGTGGAGAAGGCAGCCTTCCCTCACCAACATGAAGCAACGGTCAAGAAAGGTGCATGGACGTGTCCCAGCAGCCTCCCCTTGTCCCCCCTTGGGCTGGCCCAGCCACTCCAGCCTCTCCGTGGTGTTGCCCAGCGGCCAACTGGGCCAGAGCGTGCGGCCAGGGAAGGTCTCCCGGCGCTGGGGACAGGAGGGAATGGTGGCCCGGGCCCAGCTCAGGGCGATGCAGCCCTGGCACAAGTTCTGCCTGCAGTCTAGCATCACCGGAGCGCAGGAAAAATCCAGGCAAATGGAGCAAGTCGCCTCCTCCCGGAGCTCCTCGGCTGCCGCCATGGCCGGGCACAGCAGGGATGCTGGGCAGAGGTGCTCGGGGTGTTTTGCTTTTGGGAACAGAGCAAGCATGGCTGCTGGGATGAGACCCCGGTGGCTGTGGGACCCACAGGCAGCTGCAGGTCCCCCCGGTGGCTCTGGGACACCTCCAGCTGCGGGACCTCAGGTGGCACAGCACAGCCAGAGGAAGACAGACCCCCAACTCTCCTTCCATCCCGCCCTTATTTAAATTAAAGGGGGGTCTGGTGTTTAGATCTGGATGACTTTAACCCAGAAGGAGCCCTGCTGTCCTTAGCAGGATTTTTCTCCAACGGTCACCCAGCTAACACTCTCCAAACCCCCCTTCCACAGACCAGCTTCCCTTTTTCCTGTTCCTCCTACCTCTGCATTGCCCACAGTAGTTTGGTTTTTCCCCTCCTTGCCTTTTCCTCCTTTGTAGGTCATGCAGTTGCAAAGACAAAGTTTCTTTCATTTTTCTGTTGCTTCATTATGTACTTCATGATGTTGCACGCTTGCAAGCCAGAGGGATAGGACTCTCCACCATGATACTTGCAGCTCATTTCAGATCAGCTGCATCTTTCAGCAACATTTCCCCTCGTGCTCCCAGCCCAGATTAACCCCAGGATTACTGCTTTTGGGTGTGCTGTTCCACTCCCCCATTCCCCCATTTATTTTGAGCTCAGGCAGCTGGTTGAATGCCTTTAAGTATCACCAGTGCTGAGAGCATTTGCATGAATTAGCATGCATGTCATTGATAGCCATTTTGTAGGGATTTAAAGATATTTAAACAGATTTCCTTGCCTCTTTCATCTGCTCCTTCCCCTGCCATGCAGATGCATGGGCCACTTGTCTACATGCGCTGGTCTCCCAGCAGACCAGGTGGGTGAGTGAATTAATGAGCCCAAAGCCCTTCACTGAAAGTGTTTGTCACCTCTCCATTAAAGGCAGGCCAGGTGCATGAGCAAAACTCTCCCAGCGTCACCCCCAGCCAATATTTTCTGTGTCAGACATTGAGTTCTTTGTATTAATCCATAATGGTGTGGAGGCCAGAGCCCTGTTGTGTCCCTGGACAACCACAAAGGAGCAAAACTCTGCCGAGATGCTGCAGGAGGTGGCACAGGCTCCCTCAGTGAGGGACTTCGCTGCCGGGCCCTCTTGAACCCATCGTGGCCAGTGCCTCCTTGCTTCTGTGAGTCCCCTCTGGTCCCGCTCCCCAGCTGGGTTGGCAGTGCCGGGATGTGATCCCCCCAGTCCTCACTGCTGGGGGGAGTGCGGCCCTGCTGCCTTTCCTTGGGGACGAGTGCTTGGCCCTTGGAGGTGACCTGGCTCCAGATGCCACACTCGCCACTCAAGCGTGGCTACCGTGAGGGGATGGGGAGCCGACGCCAGGCTGCCGTGGCAGAACGGAGCTGCTGAGGCGTCGCATCCAGCAGGGCCGTGCGGGTTCCAGACGTTCTGCCATCCGACCCTCTGATGAGGGACTTCACCTGCTTGGTTTGAAGCGGCATCAGAAACGAAGATGCCCAGCTGGAACTGAAGGTGACAGGTTTGTAGTCTGTGTCTGCCTAGTTTAGGAGAGAAAGCTCTTAAAAATGAAGTAGCGACACATCAGATGGCAGGGGCTGCTCCTGACAGTGAAGCTGCTTGCGACTTTTAGGAAGGGGAGTCTGTTTGCTGCCAGCCACGACACCTCTGCTTATTTGGTTTGGGTTTTTTATCCAAGAGGGTCCAGGGCAGAAACACCCCAGAAATAAGCAGACTTGGGCATTTCTATTTCCGTAAGATTATATGGAGGTGGTAGGTAACATTGCAGCTGGAGATTGTGCCCTATTTCAAGGGGGGGGGGTTCCCTCTCACCTGTTGTCCTTCTCTCTTTAAGAAACTGAGAAGCACATGTGGTCCTGAAATATAAAGACTATCTCTTAGTTTGATACTGGCTTGGAATAAGATGGAAAAACTTGTTCTTCTCATTTAGCCTGTGCAAAATAATTGCAATTCCTCATTGCTGGGGTTTCTGGAATCTGAGAGTAAATCTCAGATGTTGAAAACATGCATAGCTTAGCCCAGTTTTTCTTTTAATGCCATTCTAGCCACGGGGTCTGGTCCTCACATCTCTGTAGAGAAGAGCCAAGGAGGCCTCCAAGTTGTGTGCCGACCAGCTGGCTGGTACCCGGAGCCCCAGGTCCTGTGGAGAGATCCCAGCCATGAGCACATACCTGCAGAGTCCCCAAACCAATCCTGAAATGTGAGGGGCCTCTCTGAAGCACAGAGCACCCTCCTTGTCATGGGAAACACCCCAGAGGACTTGTCCTGTGTGGTGAGGAACACCTACCTCAACCAAGAAGAGGAAACTGCTTTCTGAAAGCCAGCTTAGTCACCCTGACACAGGCAGGGTGAGACAGGAGGAAAGCTGGGTTTCTCAACAGATTGGTGCCCTGGATCCTCTTCACTGGAATTTTGTGTTTTGGAGGGTGAGAAAAGGTTTAATGGGTTCTTTTTTGCTGTGCCCACCCCCCCCCAAAAAAATCAATTCTTTGGCAGCTGAGTTGCACAATTACAACATTTTGGTGAGAAACACAACAATTTCATGTAGTATTGCACCGTGAAGACTTGTGGGAGTTTAAATTCAGTTCTCTCCTTGTGCAAGAGATATCTCCACATTCTGGTGCTGCTGCGGGTAGGAAGCCTTCAGGAACGCAGAAGTCCTTGAAAAGCCTCTAAGGAGCATGTTTCAGGGAAACAAGCTGAGCCAGGAGTTTTTGTCCCATAGCCAGGGCCTGCGTGGACAGCACATCACGGCTGTGACCAAGCGAAGGCATGGGGCCAGCAGTCAATGCGCTGCCTCATCGGCCGGTGGCTGGACACGGAGGGCAGCGGGTAACTCACGAAGCCCACGGTCCCGTCGGCACCAAGGTGGGGTCTGTCCTGGCAGCAAAGGTAGAGCAGGGTGTTGATCAGACCTACGTGAGCCTCCCTGTTGCCGGTAGAAAAGGCTGCGGCGACAGGCAGCGGAGGCACCTCAATAATGAGGTTTTTTCTCAACACTGGTCTGTGTCAGAGATGCTTCAAACAAATCCTGCTCAGATCCAGTATGTTCTTCTGAGCAGCCGTGAATGAAAGCGGTCCCTGTTAAAACGTATCTCCTTTTCTAATGGCGAGCCCTCTTTCTCTGGGTTTTCTGTTTCTTTTACACTGTTCTGGCTGCTGCTGCTGCTTTTTCTTCTCATCCTGGGCAGATTGCTGTGTTGCAGCACAGTTTTATTTTAAAGGACTGGGGTGAGCCTTCTCTGTAGGAACATAGCATTCTCTTTTAAAGCTTTTTTTTTTTTTTAATATAAACAAGCCCAGAGCCCTCTTGATTTACCAGCTTGTCCAGGAAACATGGGTCTCATCCAAGGTCTTGCCCAAGGCTAAGGCCTTGTCCAGGGCCTTGGAAACACGTTCCAACATTGTTTTTGCAGTGTCTTGAATGGCACTTTTAACATGCAGCTTAACAATTTCCATCCCCCCCTGCCTCTTCAAAAGCAGCGCAGCCTTTCTAACCAGGCTCTGCAGTACAGGTCCAATGCCCACCCCATGGCCAGGGGCTAAGGGCAGGGCTGGGACCACAGGAGGTGTTGAGGCTCCTCATCACACCATGGAAAAGGGACCGATGGGTACCTGGGTCTCTGCCCCGAGGTGCCAGATCCAGCCCTGGGCAGGCATCCTGCTCCACACCACATTGCAGCCCCTACCACGATGCTGGCCCCGACGGCTCTCCACACCAGCTGTGCAGTGTGTCCCAGGAGCGTGGATCAGCCCCTCCAGCCACCGGCAGCTCTCGCACGCTGCAGCCTCAGACACAGCACCCGGAGGCATTGCCACAGCTCACTATCAAGGAGGTAGCCTGGCCTCTTCAGGCCCTCCCATCTCCAGTAACAACACAACAGCCCAAGTTTGTCTCACTTTTATTTACATAATTGCACAGCCCGTTTCCCCATGACACTGGAACGTGGCGGGTCAGAGACACTGATTTCCTACATCCATGAGCTGAACATCTCCTCTGGGAAGGAGGAGAAAACTCAAAGAGTTGCTATTGGGTTTTGCAGGGGCACATGCGACAACTCCAATTATTGGCAACTACGATAAAGACAACGAAGCTGAGAGTGAAGCCATGGCTGCGCAGCAGCACAGGGCCGGGCCCCAGTTGCCCCCAGCCAGGGACTTCTGGCTTTCACAGTTGCATATTTGGATCAACAGTGGGTTTCCTAACCAAAACACTGGCTCCATTAAGTCCTTACTAGGGGAACGTGGTGCGGGAGTGCACATCCTTCGTTACCTGCCAGAACTAGACACAGTGCAAGACCAAGCTCCTAGGAGGCAGCCAGGGCTGGGAAGGTTAAACCAAATCCCCAAATTTTTCTTCACTGGGAATGTCCTGGTGATACAAGGTTTGTTGGGGAAGGGCTGAAGAAAGGCGTACCCAGGACAAGGCACAGAGCAGTGGTGCAGCACTCACTGCCAAGGGAAGGGGTGTGTGGAGGGAGGCAGCGCCTGCATGGGAGCTCCACTGCACAAGCTGATTTGAAGCAGGATGCTGCTGTGCAGGGACCGTAACTGCAGCTAGGCTGAAGAGGCCTCTCTGCACTACAAGCCTCCAGGAGCACCTGGGGACAAGTCATCCCTGCACAACAGGGAAAAGGGAAGGTGCCCATGGGTACGTGGCAGAAGGGAAGAGACAAGCAGGGAAGCTGGCAGGAAGGGAGCAGAGGAGCACAGCCTGGCTATGTAGAAGATATTCACCCCGTGATCAAACGAGACCCTCATGCTCAGAACAGAGACCAGCTTGGACCAGCCCACAGGGGCTCACAGCTGGGCAGAGACAGGCTGCTGCAAGATGTGCTGGGATATCATCGAGTTGCGTGAGAAATCCGAGACAGGAGATGGAGGAGAAGAGCAAACGCAAACCAGGCCACAGGGCTGGAGCAATCCTATTGGGAGAGATAGGACACTGGCCCCTGCTGCTCATGCCACCAGCTACTTCCAGCCTAGGGTCAAGGAACAGGGAACACATAAGGAAAAGCATCCTGCTTTGCAGCTAGAGAGAAGGAAGAATGGCACGCGGTGCTTTGAATTCAAGAAATTGCAGGTCTCGATCTAGCGGAGCACTGGACTGATCCACTTGGGTTCAGCAAAGAAGTGGAGGGACATAGTGTGTGATACCACCACCCACTGCAAGGACTCAGGCAACCTGGAGCCTGCCTCCTCCCTGCTATCTACCCTCACCATTGCAGGAGTGAGAGCCAAGGGTCACGCCAAGCAGCCACACACACCGCTGGAGCACCCAGCAGGGCAGCACCAACACCAGCATCCTTATGGCCTGCCCCACTCATGGGGCTCAAGAAAGCACAGCCCCAAGCACAGGCATCATCTGGCAGGGTGGGGAGGCAGTAGAGAGGCAAGGACTAAAGCCAAACTCAGGGATACCCTTGGCAGATTGGGCGCTCCAAGACAGAGGAGCTCATTAGCTGGGTGTGCTGGAAAAGCAGGTGGATGAAGGAAGAGGAGGAATGTTGGCCCCGCAGGATAAGGGACTCGGAGCCTGTTCTCTGTGAACCAGCGAACTTGGGGTGTTTCACTAGAGGTGATATAACAGGCACGCAGCACTTTCAGATGAACCAAATCACAGCAGCTCCGCCAGCTGCTGCCCAGGAATGTGCAAATAAAGCACACAGAGAACAGCCGAGACCACCTATGTCCTGCCCAGCAGCTGCAGAGCACGGCCTGTCCCATAAGGTATGTGTGTAACTGATACTACAAGAGGTCCAGCCTCAAGATGGTGAAAGGACATCAGCAAACAGAGACTCCAACTCTCACCTTTTGGGGTCAGGAAAGCTCCTTTCTGAATCTTTTAAAAGCAAAAGGCAATGGTGGGTTTAGCTAGTACGAGCCATCACTTCCCGCCCTCAGATCCTCCATCTACCTTTGCCAGACATACCAAGAGCTGAGTGCATCTGAGTCCTGGGGATGAGCCAGGATCTGCAAGGAAAGCATTTTGTGAGATCACGTCTGCCCAGGAAAAGATTTTCTCATTTTGAAACTTATTTTGAAATTCTCAAAATTACAGTACTTTACAATACAAAATGTCTCCATTCAGTATCACATCATTTTACTCCTTCTGGGATTATAATAATTATTAAAAACACACAACTTTCTAGAAAGGACAGAAACACCACGAAAGAGACCAAAGAGTAATGGGAAAGGCTGCTGCAGTATTATCAAAAACCAATTTAGTGCAAAGGAGAAGGGGACTTTCAAGAACGGTCGATGAAAAGTGTTCTTTATATGCTCATTTGGAGAAAAGGCATAGATTTAACCTCTGAATGAGATCAGGCTGCCAGCTTCTATACTGAAGCTTAGAACATCAACACAAAAGGACTGAAACACAATATGCATGGCCATTAAAAAATAATATTATATATAGAGAGAGGGAGATATTTTCCACATATGGTATTTAGTTATAGGAAAGTGTCCCTGCAGACAGGCGTATTCTGCCATCTGGCTCTTTTGGGCCATTTCACATGACAGACATTGATTATCTGTCTGTTTGCCATAGTATAAAGTACATGCTGACTGCAAAGTCCCTTCAGGTGGGACAATTGTTTTCTAGTGCCTCCACAGTTGCCATGTTTCCTGCGCATGAGGGGACACCCAACCTTCTTTGCTTCTGCCAGCCGCGAAGGGCTGCCCTCACCCCAGCAGCCATGTGGCGCAGCGGCCAAGGGACGGCTCAGACAGTGGTTTCATCCGCGGTCTTCTTCATGAGCTTGGCGGAGAGGAGGGAGTGGGGCACAGGGTGAGGGCTCCGTGAGGCTGGGATCATCAAGCGGACTTTCTGGTTGGTCCTTCGCCACTCCGAGTACAGCTGGCAGTGGTAGCGGAACGAAACCTGGTGGGCAATAATGCATTGGTCTGGTTACCAAACCCCCGTCACAAGTGCCGAAGACCGTAGAGGGCCAAGTGAGATGCAGCCACCCATCCACCATCTGCATGCTTTCTGCATATTCCTTCTCAAGCCACCAGCACCCCCCGGACAAGGGAGACAGCACTGATCCTGAAATGGTTTGGGGCACTCCACGTCTCAAGCCTTTGACGAGGAATCAATTAATTTCTGGTAACACCAGGCTGAGCATGGCACAGCCAAAGGGGCTTTCTGGGCAGCACCAGGACAGAGGGACAGAGTTGGCTCAGCTGGGTTTGGGTACCAGGCCAGTGAGATGTGGCAGGGAGGAATCACAACTTGCCCTTTCACTCTAGCCACGGGCTGAAGTGAGTGCCTTGGCTGGGCAGAACGAGGGGTTCTCAACAGGACCAGCCTCAAATGGCTGAATCCAACCAGCCTCCTCCCATCTCACAGATCCTGGTGGATCTTCTCTGCCCTTTGAAAAAGCCTTCTTTCCTTGGTCTGCAACAACAGGACATAGGTTGGACTAATTTTTTCTGACAACACTGTAGCCTGGGAGACTTGTCCACCCGGAGGAAGACAGGAGAGGATGCAAAGGCTGGAGGGGACCTAAGCAGAGGCATGAGCTGGCCCTGCAGTTTCAGAGCAGACCTGGAAGGGGGAGCTTCAAGCTGTGCTTCCCCAGCAGGCTGGACTCCTTGCTGTGTTCTTTTGCAATCATGAACACAACTACAGATTTTCTCACAGCTCTTGCTGATTCCTTAGCTTTGAAATTAAACTCTTCTAGAATTTCTTGAGGAAGGAGTAAAACCAGCATATATTTCCTTCCTATTTATTTTGCTAGAAATTGTGAGTAAGAAAATTAAATAATGAATCCAGTCAGTGACTCATCAAAACCAAGCTTTCATACTTTGTACAAGTACAGGAAACATTTAGCTGGCAAGCAGGAAGTACCAAGAAGCGTATCTGACAAGGAAAAGTCAGTATTCCTATCACTTTTGGATAGGTCTCAGACATCTGCTATGAGAACTGTGCCATGGCATTGAGATAATTAGCTCATTGATCTGTGCACTCCCCTTTTTCCTGTTCTAGAGGGACAACTGTGGGAATAAGGTTGTTTGCTGATAAAAAAGAAGCAAATGCATCTCACAGTCTTCAGATACAGCATATGAATGGGGAGGTAATGGTGCAAACCTCAAGGAAAGCTCCACAGGAAGGAGCTGCAACCTTGGCCATGGCTTCTCTCGCAATCCTCACACTGATTACAGCCATCACCACCCACCCATGTAACAGCCCTTTGTGCTGCACAGCCCATGGCTGCACGGAATTGCAGTTGAATACGGTAAATGTGAATAAAGGGGCTTCACTTAATGCCCTTCTCTGTTCAAGGAAATGTGAAGCACAGCAGAACTGGAGCCACTTTAGTCAGGACTCATTATTTCACAAAAAACCCCCCATTCTTCCATTTCCTCCAGATTTCCAGCTCCTTCAGACCAGTCCTGGGACAGAGAAGATGGAAGCACTTCCTCTTAAGGTTTCCAATTTTAGCTTGGCTTTCTCCAGAAATCAACCTTATGCAGCACATACATGCAGCAGTGGAGACTTTCCTCAAGAGCTGCTGGTGCACTGCAATTGCTGCATATTTTGACAGAAACACAGATCAGGCACTGCTGCACCCACCCAGAGCAAAGGCTGCAGCACCAGCTCACCCTCCACTGGCACCTGCATCTGTGTGGGAGAGTTGCAAAGAATGTCCTAACCCCAGAGAAAGCTGTTACTCTGAGAGATCAAAGCATGAGATGGCAGGGAAATGAGCTGTGGCATTTCCACTGCCTGCAGAACTGCCAGCTTTTTGGGGTCCCACTATTTCTCCTCCAGTAACTGCACTTCTTCCCTTCCCAAAATGGTGCCTCCCAGCAAGCAGCTGGAAAAGGGTATCGACAGGGCATGAGCACACACAAACAGGGCTTTGAATAGGAGAGCTGAAATGAAGATCCAAACCCAGAAACCCACCCAGCAACACAACACAAAAGAACTGAATGGGAAACAGCGGGATGGGAAACTGAATGGGAAGTCCCCGGCCTGGGAGCCCCAAGGGCTCAGGGAACAGCAGGGCAGGGAGCTGCCCCCCAGTCCAGCTGCTCCTCTGGGCTCTCAGCTGGGAGCACTCACAGATGTGCTAACATAGCAAATTCACATTTGCTTTCCTGCTCTTCGGGACTCACCCCAAGCTGCAAGCTCCCAGCTGCCTAATTCAGCATGTCCAAAAAGATGCAAAGTGGGGCATCTGCAGGAAGCTTTTTCCCAGCACAGATCAGTTCAACACCCAGACAGGGTCAAGTGCAGGTTCCCAGTAATCCCCAGGGCCTCCAACCCAGCAGCACAGCTGTAAAGGCACAGCAGTGGGTCAGGACAGGCTGGCTACCCAGTCTTGGCTCAGGGCTCGAGTCCAAAAGCCCAGCATGCGAGAGAAGTCAGAGGTCTCCCCAGGGCCGCAGTGTTCCTTGCGCACATCCTTCTGTGCTGCTGACATCTTAAAAATACTGTGTAGGACTTTGTTTAGTTGTGGGCCACAGAGACTGCCAATGGCCAGTCTGCACCTCCTTCAGGCATGGCCAACCTGTGCTGGGCAGCACAAAGCATGGAGGGACATGAGGGCAGATTATTTAGGGGTCAAATATTTTCCAGATTTTATTTTTCCCCTAAACCATCTGGGTATGAAGTTTGTGTTTCTTCCCCAAAATAGGAACACGCACAACACCTGGAACACTGCCTGCCACCAGCACCAGACCTTCCCACCCAACTCCAGCCACACTTGGGCATGTCTGCGCCCAGGTACATGATACCCCAGGGAACACAGCTCCCATGTCAGTCTGGAGAGTAGATGATCAGGATGTGGTTTCTCATTCTCAGCAACAACTTTAGCAGCTCCCATTAGAAGATAATTAAATGGATGTTCAAGAGAAAGAGCCCTAGGTTTTCGCACAAGGGGAGTAAGAAACGGCTGGCTGCACTGATGCCGTGCAAGCCAGTACTTCGATCCCCCTTTTGAACAGAAACAAGGGCCTGGGCAGCAGACACTTACCAGCGTCCAAAGGACGTAGATTGTGAAAAGTGCTATAGTTAGTGCTATGAGTCCAATGGCCTCCAGTCGGCTGTTGAACTGCAAATGATCCTGGGCTCCGCGCAGACACAACCAGCCAGAGATTGCCGCCAGGGGAGTAATGAACAGGAAACACACCATGTCACAGAAAAGGGTCCTCTTCTCATTGCGGGGACCAGGATCCTTCAGCCACTGCCAGAAGGAAGGGAAAAAGGGCATTAGTCAGCAGCACACAGAGCACACAGCATGCTAGCAAAACAGGACTGCTATGCCGGGAAGCTCTCACATGCTCTCTGCAGTCTATACGTACCTGGTGCATATACTTAACTCACATAAACCTTCACAAAAATAGAGCTAGAGAGTATCAAGTATATTTTCAACAACCAAAAAGGGAAAGGGAAGAGACAGCTGAAGAATATGTGCAGGGCAAGGCAGTAGTAAATACAGGAGCTGCCTGGGCTCTTCGCTGGAGTAGCAAGAAGCAGGCAGCAGCTAGCAGCCAGAGGAAGGCCGGTTCAGTAAAGCCTGGCTTAGTAAAGGTCTGACAGGTCTTGGATTGAGCTTCAACAGAAACATATCTGCAACTGGTGTAGAGGCTATGGGAAACTGGGGCATTAGGGTCTGTGGCCAGGCCAAGCCATAAGGGCAACTGTCCCAAATCAGGCCTCTGGTTCCTTTTGGAGAATCGTGGCATTTTAGAGTTTCGCTCCTGATTTAAATCAAATCTGAAACACCCAGGTCCACCTGAGAGACTGTGCAAGACAGCTCTGGAGAAGGAATGCTCTCAAGGGTATGGGCACTGTCCTTGGCGCTTGAGCAAGCTGTGGCAATCCAGGGCCATCAGTGGGAAATGCAAACATCCATGCACCCAGTATTTTCACTGAGATGATGACAGAGAGGAAGAAAGCATATCACTTCAGCAACTAGGAAACCAAGACTGGTGGGGGGAAAAAAAAAAAAAAAAAAAGAAAGAAGAGAAAAAAGAAAGTGAGTAACTAGCAGGAAGTTTTGCACCTGAGTGGACAAAGCATGACAGCAGCCAAGGGGCCATGCTGTTGGGCTGGCCCTGGCAGAGGAAGGTAACACAAACCCATTTTCTTTTACAGAACAACCTGCGCCCAAATCCGCATCTTTCTCACAGAGAAAACCTTTGACCGTTTCTAAAGAGAAAGCAGCACAGCTGCCAGGTGAAGAGAGACACAGAACTCGGCTGGCTGGAGGAAGATCCCCCATCGCTCTCTCCCAGATCTCAGTGGATCACAAGTGACCATGAAGGGATGAGGCCTGATCATACAGAGACAGCTGCTGAAAACTCCACCTTCATGACCACAAAATCCCAAAGACCTTTCCACTGCTGGTGGCCAGCCACTGGCCACCACGTTACACACAGAAGAGATCTACCAGGACCAGGACAGAGCCAATTCTAGTGTAGTCCTTCCCATTTTCAGGCTTGCTTTCTTGCCTCCCAGGCAGTAAGTGATCTGTCACAGTGGAGGTTACTGCACTTTGCTCTGTGTTACCAAGAGGCTTTGCAAGCACTTCCATCTTGCAGCTCTCAAAAATTAGCAGGTTACAGAATGAACGCAGCTGTGTTGCAGGCAGATTTCCTTCAACAGGCAATCTCTAAATGTTCACTACTTTCAGGAGTCCCAACTTGCTTCCAGTGTGGGTTCATTTTAGATACTTTGACAACAGCAATTGTTCTACTTTTCCTGGGATTATGCTATTTTCAGCCTTTCCTTTCCTTTTTTAGAACAGCAAGCAGCTGTGGTTCCTACCAATACCCAGAGTTGTTACACCACATTTTTACTAGTGGTTCTGTACGCTGGGCTGCTGGATCCTTCCTCCTTTCCTGCACAAGGATGACTGGTCTCATTTAGGACTTTTTTTTCCTCAAAAAAAAAAAAAAAAAAAAAAAATTGGAGAACATGATTGAAAAGGCACTGTCAGAGCAGGGAAGGGAATATCCCCAAGGCAGCCAGGGCCAGGCAGGCATGTCCTACTGCCAGACTTGGAATAGGGTGCCCACTTTTGAACAGGCAGCATGAAAAGGGACCCGTCTGAGAACTACGCACACAAATCTCCTTCCCTACAGGGGAAACCACAGTTTAAATAGCAATACAGAAGGGGTGGTGGCAGGTATGCAAGAACTTAACGAGACTACATGGGTCAAAACAGAGCACTGGTAGGTAGCCTGAGGACATGGCTGGCCAGAAAGACAAGCAGAAAGTGCTGGCCCAGAAGGGGAACATGGAAGGGTGCACACATATTAGTGCAGATTTAACTACAGAGAGTGTCTAATGTGAGGGATGTACAGCGAGACACAGCAGAGGGGTGAGGACAGGGTGAGAAGCACAGACAACTTTTGTTGAAATGGGAAAGAGAAAGGGGAGGTGGCAAATCTGGGCAAGGAACAGCAACGTGGTCAGAGCCACAGCAGCAGCATGGTCTGCAGTTACCTGTGATGGGACACCGAGCTGGCCAAGAACGGAGAAGAGGATGCTGCAGCAACAGATAAGAGCCTGGCCAGGAATTTTGGGTGGGAGGACTGATAAGCAAGATATTTTAGAGAAGTGACTTGAAGCGTCTGAAAGACCCAAGCAGAGCAAGAACAACTGAAGCTAGAGAGCAAGCTGGGAGCTGAAGAGCACAAGACAGATCTGGGGACAGAGCAACAGTCCTGCAATAACAGAGGGCAAGTTAGAAGCATTTTAAAGCCATTCTGAGCACGACTTGATGGCCAGACAGTCAGAAGGAAATTTCAGAGCAGCCACAACTGTGGTTTGGCCAGGAGAAGCTAGGAGAAGGGAGGCAGACGTGCAAGTCACCCCTTGTGTGGCTCTGCAGAGGAGATTAGTGGTGATGAGCTGTGTGGGGAAGATAAGGACCACACACGCAGTCCTGAGCAACCGTAAGAGGAAGCGAGGGTGGATGGCAGCTCATCTACACAGTAAAGCTGCTCCTACAAACAGTGCATTGGAAGCCCCATCATTCGAATCCCTTGCCATGTGCCTAGCTTTCTCCACTCCAACCAGCACAGTGCTGCCTCAGGTAAATGCTGAATTACCCCGGCTGGACCAACAACCCTCTAGCAGAAATCCCAGAGCACCCCATCCCCTGTAAGAGGACATCTTGGGTCACTTTTGACCCTCATACAGTAAGAATCTCTGGGACTGAAGACAGATAGGTATTTTACTGCATCTTACTCTATTTATATTACTTGTGACCTTTGAAACTCCTTCTTCCTCCCTAAGATGGGAGCCAAACATGTAAAGGCAGGAAGCAAATTAATTTCCCTTTGAAGCAGTTGATTTAGTTTGCCAATAGGCACTGACACAGTAAAAAAAAGAATACAATAAGCCACCCTAAGGGCGCAGTGTTTCTGGCACAGCAGCACATCACTGCATATACGGGACTTAAAATAAACCTTGCAAACAATCCAAAAAGTGGTCAGTCAGATTAAACAATTTTTGTAGGGAAAACTATCAAGTAAACATGGGAAAGCAACAAAAGCACAACTTGGTCTTCTTCCAGGCCAAGTCCAAAACCAATTGCTTCCATGCTGCAGTCACATGTGAGACTAAAGGGAAAAAGGTAGAACTGGCTGCTTGCTGCCCACTTCGGCTATGAGTTGGGTCTCAGACCACCCTACTGGAAACAACCTCCCTCTGCTTGTGCAACAAGAAGTTATTCCAGGTACAATCATATTTCTTTGTCCTCCAGCATGATCCTGAGGCTTTCCCAGATGTTCTTTCTACTGGGATCAGCAGGGCTGTGGAAGGGAGCTCATTTCTTGGACCCACGGCAGGCCTATGGGATGATGAGTATCTGATCTTTGGATGTTGTAGTGCCCATAAAACTAGGGTGAGCCCAGGTGACAGAAGGCAGGAGGAAGGCATGCAGAAAAAGGCACCAGGACATCATCAGCTCCCCTAGAAGCCAAGAACAGAGCTCAAAGTACAACAGAGCAGTCTCCCAGACAGTCCATGCGAGCACCTGCTACTCCGCATGTCTCAGAGTTGGGCTGCATTCTGCCACTTGGGACCAAGGGGAATTGACTGATGAGGGATCGTCCCAGCAATGCTCAGCACCTTACAGTCTTTCTGGGGCATTATAAATGGGTGTTTTAGAATAAGCTTTCATTGACTTTTACAGCTTGCTCATCTTGTGTGGCAAAATGTACATAGCTGTGAGCTATTAGCCCCTTTCATAAAACACATTGCATGCAGCATTCTCGTGCCAGCTGATGGCAGTCCCATGCTAAGCAGGATCAGCACAGTACAGAACCAGCAGTCTCCAGCCAGCACGTGCTCGGGTCTCTCCCAGCTGGACCACCCACTCTCGTGAGCACCATTCAGGACCAGCATGACCTGCCAATCTCACCAGCTGACCCTGCCACAAAGCTCCCCATGTGCTTCACAGCTACAGTATGATGCAAGCCACAGCAGCAACAGGACTATCAGCTGTGTTACAAAACATCCTGTGTCCTTTCTGTCCACCAAAGTTAGCATGTGGCTGCTCAGACGCCTGTTGATTTTCCTTTCACTGCTGACCTGGTGCCTGGCTACGTAAGCCAGAAAGGAAAACATGACCTTGATTCACAGCAGCACGATTAGCCCTGTCCCTGCCCTGAGAAACACGTTGAGTCAAAAAACACAGCTTCAGAAGAGGGACCATCACACCTCTTCTCTGGGCACCCACCAAAACCTCCTTGCAGGCCACTGAGCTCCACGGGCAGCCCCAGCAGGATGGTCCTGTTTCCTTTACCAAGGTGGGGAGGGATGTTTTCTGATGGGGTACCCAGACTTCAGGAAGCCAAAACCCAGAAACACGCCTAGCCCTGCAAGCAGAGCAGTTCAGAGCAAAGTGGTCCCTCCTCATCCTCCTTTCCCCATGGCACAACTGGCTGCCCTCAATGCTCCACAAACCTCAACAAGCTGAATCTCTCCTTGAACAGGCATGAGAGCCTTTCCAATGCACTCAGCCTGGCTCCAGCCACCACAAAGAACAGGGCACTGGGCTGACCCAAGGAAAACAAGAGCTGCAGGAGCACCAGAAATGGTGGACAGGAGAAGAACTGACCCAAGCAGTGCTGCAGGTCACCAGGACACTTTCCTACACACCAGCAGGTGTTTCTGTGGCTGGTGTCACCACGGGAAATGCCGTGCCACAACATGCACAAATATGACATC